TTCTTACAGCACTAAACTATGTTTTCTACCTTTATCTTGCATCTACCTACCACTTCAGCATTTTATTAAAAAAATAATAATAATAATAATGGAGAAATGTGGGATTCACATATAAATCAAGTATAAAAATCAAACAAATATTCATATTTGACCTGATTGTTTATAGTTCAGAATGCGTGATCAAAACTGAAAGTTTATGTGATGAATGCCCTTGTACTGTTCACCATGTAAGAAATTATTCACTATGTAAGAATTTGTTCACCATGTAAGAACTTGTTTGTTATGCTTCAGAAGATTGGAGACTGATGAGAATTAGGCTTGGAGTGGATTAATGATTGTGCATTGAGTCCCCTATACAGAATTTTATTGTTGTTAACAACCATTTGATCAATAAATATGAGAGATGCCCTCTCAAAAAAAAAAAAATTGGATTATACAGTCAACTCTTGAACAGTGTCAGGGTTAGAGGCACCAACCCCTCACACATTGGAAAGTACAGTATAACTTTTGACTCCCCAAAAACTTAACTACTAATAGCTACTGTTGGCCAGAATTACTGATAACAAAACAGTCAGTTAACGCATATTTTGTATATTATATGTTATATACTATATTTTTACAATAAAGCTAGAGAAAAGAAAATAATTAAAATCGTAAGGAAGAGAAAATACATTTACAGTATATACTATATTCATTGAAAAATAATCTGCATGTAAGTGGACCCATGTGGTTCAGACATGTATGTTCAGGGTGGACAACACCCTTGAAACTCCGTAATTTTTAAGCATTTTGATTGAAAATTTGTATTTATAGTTCCCCCCTGGAGGAAGCATAGGGAATATGGTTATCTTGAGGAAGATCTGTTACTGTCTGCTATAGTGTGGTGATTGAGATATTCAAAGCTTTTTGCCACTGCATTAAAGTTATTATTCTAGTGGTAGTTCTTCTCTCTCCTCCCTTCTGGCTGCCTTCTTTCTTGCTGCTCCACACCTTTACTGTCACTAGATTGCCTCCCAGTGTTCCTGTGCTCCCTTCGAATCCACACCACAGCTTTCAGATGATCTCAGATGTTTTTGTTTGTCTTTACACTGCTAACACTCATTCTCTTGTTGCTTCCAGGATTGAGGCGCCCACAGGATTTGGCTTTTTTAGAGTCCTAATCTTTTAAGAAACTACACTTCTTTCACTTGATGAATCACCTTTATTTTCCTCTTTGAAACATTGTTATTGTTGACAACAATATTGTTGATATTGTTTTTGGTGCTGGGTTTATTTGTTTTTTTTTCAATCTTTCCATTAGGGATGCACAAACTTTCTGTCAAGGGCCGGATAGTAAGCTTTGTAGGCTGTAGAGTGTCTGTCACAACTCAGCTGTTGCAGTGTATAAGTAACAATAGATGATACATAGAGGAATGGGCCTGGCTATGTACCAGTAAAAGTTTACTTACAAAAGCAGACAACAGGCGTGATTTGGCCAGTGGGCTGTAGTTTGCCAACCGATGTTTTAGATGGATTTGTGCTGTTCTGGAATAACAGAACGCTAGATATTGAAACTCAGCAGAAGTCAGAGTCATTTCTGTTGGCTGTGATTATAGCATGAATATTTTCATGTTATTTTTGTTGAATGTATAATAATTGTCATGTTATTTTGTTGTATATATAGTAATGTTTTGTTGCAGAAAAGGACATGTATAATGTAGTTTATAGTACTGACAACTACTTGTTCAAAATAATTTGTATTTGTTTTGTTTTGTTTTTGGGGCTTGTTCTAGACTTCTGAGAAGGAAATTATAAGTAAGGAACAAGGTAATGAAAAGGCACAGGGGGCCTCCAATGTTATTCTTTATAAAATTGACGTCCCTGCCAATAGATATGATCTCCTTTGTCTGGAAGGATTGGTTCGAGGACTTCAAGTCTTCAAAGAAAGGTAAGGGAATTTGTTCATTAAATATTCTGCTAAATTGGACTTCTCTCTCTCTTTTTTTTTTTTTGCCTGTCATCAGCAACCCTGTTGGTAAATTTCTGGAAAAAACTTGTTGGAGTGGTGCACACTTTAGGTCTGTGTAGAGGGCTGACTGGCGGCTGAGATTCATAAAGATTGTAGACATTTGAAAATCTGCCTGAATGTTGAGTCACAGCCTTTCATTATGGGAGCATATATTACAACTGAAGTGGTTACTGATTTTAATACTTTTTAAAAATTTCTTTAGTAGGTTCCTGTGAGTTCCCTCAGTAATCCAATTGGAATAACTAGTTCATTGGATTTGTTAAAGGTTGGGAGAAAAGTAGAGGTGGCAAAACTTTATATGGTATTTTCTTAAAAATTAGAAAGAAGTTGGGAATGGCACTTCCTAACTGGAAAAATGAAGATCTTAACAATGGCTCTGTGATCTTGTACAAGTTAACTGGCCTCTCTAGTTTCAATTTTCTTATTTATAATGAAGAATATTTTTAAATCCCCTTCCAGCTCCTCATGTAATAAAGATAGAAAATAATGAATATATAAAGTGGAAAAGAGGTGAAACATAACAGCTACCAAAAATACTTACTTTGGGTCTTGATACTTATACATTGTTTGGTCAGTTGTAAAAGAATAAGAGCCTTTGGCTGAAAGGCTAGACTGAACTGAGGCCTCAGATGAGTGATGGGTGTTGGTGAAAGGCATTTGAGTGAGGTGGTTAATATCTGGGGCTTGACCCAGTTGGTTTTCCACATGACAGTCAGATGCTTATATTTTAGGGTCAGGGATAATCCCTTAGTTCATTTCCCAAACCTGCCTGATTAGAATTTCTGTTGTCAAAAGGCACTTGGTATGATTTTTATGGTCAGATAGAATTAGGAAACTAACTTTAAACTTCTGCTACTGCAAGTGTGGTGTGTGGACCAGCATAATCTCCATCTCCTGGAAGCTTGTTAGAAGTGCAGAATCTCCGCCACTACTCAAGACCTATTGAATCAGAATCTGTGGTTTAACAAATTCCCCAGTTGACTGTGAGCACACTGAGTTTGAAGAAACATTGACTTAAAATAGTAGATTCCCACCTCTTATGATGGTAAGAATTTCCTGGACTGTATCTTCAAAATGTACCATTTACCAGGCCTTTCCCTTGACTTATCCTGATTTAGTAGGTCCAGATGGGGCCTGGCAAACTGTATTTTTAATAAGCCCTATTTTTCTTAGAAGCTCAGCATCTTTAGAATATACTTAAAGGTTATCTAATGAAATCCCCGAGCTGATATTGAAATACTTCCTATACATTTGGCTTAGCTAATCGTTTTCTAGCCTCAATTGATCCTTAATGATAGGACTCTCATTACTAAGACGCATCAGATACCATTTTTAGACTTTAAATGTTAGAAGGTTTGTTAGTTGTGTTTTTTTAATATTCAGCCAAAATTAATTTGCTATAACTTCAATCCATTGTTCTAATTGTGTTCATTTGTATACTTTCTATATACAGAATAGAATATAGTTTATCAAATGTTTTGATAATGAATAAGTTTGCTTTGATATTATTTTAGGATAAAGGCTCCAGTGTATAAACGGTTAATGCCTAATGGAGAAATCCAGAAATTGATCATCACAGAAGAGGTAATAAGGATAAATTATTGCTTTCCTTTTTAAAAAATATCTTGTGTATGTATCTGTAAGGTGGGGAGGGAAAGGAACAAAGCTGACCCTTCTGTCAAATGTAATTTTCTTTGATCATTTGCTAAAATGGATGTATATTTAGCCTCTAGCTCTTAAAAATTGTCAATTTGTTTTTACCAAGAAATTGCAGGGAATACAGCATCTCTTTTCCATGAATAATTTTGGAAAATAACATCCAAATGTTTATGTAAAATTACATTTGAGATGTTGTTTAAATTGTGGTATATTAATAAAATTTAAAAAGAAAAACTTCTAGGGAGATGTTATTTTGGTAAAAGTATCAACTATGAGCAACTACTTAAAGATTCACTTTTTTTTTCCAGTTATTTAGTAAATTTCAGAAGTCTTACCAAAATGTAAATGTCATGAGGACAGTGACTTTGTCTCTCACCACTACTGTATTTTATTGTTGAATGAATGAATATATTTTCATTGAATGAATGAATCAAATCAATGAATATATACTTGTTTGGATGAAAATTTGTGATTACGGCTAGAGTGTAGCTAACTTTCTATTATAAGATGTTATTACAAAGAAAAGCCTTCATATTTACCGTCTCTAATGATATAATAAATTTCAGACGGCTAAAATACGTCCTTACGCTGTAGCAGCTGTTCTCCGAAATATAAAGTTTACTAAAGATCGATACGACAGCTTCATTGAACTTCAAGAGAAATTACATCAGAATATTTGCAGGTTTGTGGTTGCAGCTTCTTTCCTCCTTGTCTTCCCCTCCTGCCCTTCCTTCCTTTCCTCTTTCCCACCCCCTTTCCTCTCTTCTTCCTCTGCAGGTTTTTTTCAAAGCATTTCTAAATTAATAATATGTGAAAGTAACAAGTAAATTGTTCAACTAAATTAAAATTTAGTTTTAAATTTAAACAAGTTTTAATTTTACCAGACAGCTATTTGTTACTGCTTACAAATAGTGTATGCTTGGAGATAAGAGAGATATTTTAAACACTGTATAAAAAAAGAACTATGTAGTTCCAGAGATACTGTGTTTTTTTGTTTTTGGTTCAAATTTTCAGTGAATTATACTACTACATATTAAACCATGGTAATTTGAAGTATTATTATAAAAATGGAAAAAAAAGCAATTTTGGCTTGGTATCATTTTTGGAGTGAGTATAATTATAAATGGACAGATAAAATTTGAGACTTCTGAAACAGAATTTTCCTTTTCTGTCTTTGATATTACTATACATCATTTCTCATACAGTTCCCTTTTGTGCAATGATTTTCATACTGGTATAATTACTGAACTCCTAAGGGTCAAGGAAAATAACAGTGGGAGTCACTGTACCAATTTCAGTATTTATAAAATCCTAATGGAAATTGGATATTTATTGATGAGAAGAAACATCAGGCTTTAGCAAACATATCAAGTTTTTTTGTGTTGGTCCTGAAATGTAGCCATATAAATGATCTCATGCTGATCAAAATGTATGATTAACAGTTGTATTATAAATGTCTTGAATAAAAATAAAGAAAGTGATTTGCTTTTAAACTGTTGTAATTTGGTAAACTGGAGACTAGAAGAGGCCTGTATGTGAGGGCTAGGGACGGGGTTGAGGGGGAACCTTGGATGTCCTCCTGGGATGAAAAATGTTTTAAAAAATAAAACACCCATGGTTAAGCTCACGAGGTCTCTTTTTCCTGAAACATCTTTGCTTATGTGGTAAGAGAAACTTAATTTCAGATTCCAAGTAACATTTATTCCCAGTTCTTTTATAAAGCTATTTGTTGTCTTGTTAACATGTCATTATTAAGCAAAACAATAAAAATATAAATGCAATTTTAAAATGAAGAAGAAAGAAGATTTCTGACAAGGATAGGTGTACCTAATAAGTCGTTGAGCCTGACTATCTGCTTTGGACATACTTTGTTTGAAGAATCTCTTTTTATCTAAATCAGAAACCATTTCCTCACTTAATTCAACTTTAAGCTCTGTTTTATGTGGTATTTCTGAATATCATGAGCTTTTTCTAAGGGGCAGAATAAATCACATCCTAAAACTCTTGTGTGCCAGAGTTCTTACCTGACAGTAAATCCTAATCAATCTCTTGAGTGAGCTTTGGAAATCTGTGTTTTTCAAGGAATATGTTCATTTCATTTAAACTGTCAAATTTATTGGCATGAAGTGTTTGTGATATTTCCTTAGTATCCCTTTAACATCTGTGCTATTTGTAATGATATCTCTTTATTCCTATGTCTTCTCTCTTTTCTTGATCAGCATGGCTAGAGGTTTATCAATAGTATTGATTAATTTTCAGAGAACCAGCTTTTGGTTTCATTGACTTTCTCTGCTTTTTTTCCTCTGTATTTCATTTATCAAGCAATGTTCTGTTTAGCGCTAATTAGCCCCTACTACTGAAGCTCTTTTTCTTATCCATTGCCGCATGAATGGTGAGGTTTTCAGTCTTTGTGAGCACTGTTCCCATGGGTGGTTCTCTCCTGGCCTTGGGTAATTTGTCACATATGCATGCACTGATCAAAACTCAGCTGAATACTGCAGGGGGACCCTCTAGAGCTCCAGAGTTCTGTCTGTGTAGCTGTCTCCTCTCCTCTGTCCTGGCCACTCCGGTGGTCTCAGTGTCCGTAGATGCTTACTAAAGCATTTATGATAATTTATGTTTAATTGAGGATATTAAGAGGAAATAAGTTAAAAGAAGGTAAAAGGAATATTGACTTTGAAATATCACATAGCATGACACTTCAGAAAGCATAGTGTCAAGGAATTTGACCACTTACTGAAATAATGTGTTTTCGTTAGCTTTATAATTTCTCATTACTTTTAATTGTTGTGAGAATGAGTTCATTATACTCCTCTGAAGTTGCCATATACCAACAGCCTATTTTAGGGAAGTGTCTAAAAATAATTTTTTTAAAGCATATATAGTCTATCTTTAGAATATCTGCTTTGGCATATTCAGATCTTTTTTTCTGTCTCCTTCTCTCCCTCTTCTCCTCTCTCCCTCTCTCCCTCTCTCTCTCTCTCTCTCTCTCTCTCTCTCTCTCTCTCTTTTAACATTTAGGAAAAGAGCTCTGGTTGCTATTGGTACCCATGATTTGGACACTCTGTCAGGCCCATTTACTTACACTGCAAAGCGGCCTTCAGATATCAAATTCAAGCCTCTAAACAAGACCAAGGAGTATACAGCCTGTGAACTGATGAACATGTACAAGGTAAATGTTCCTGTATGTTATGCAATAGCTCTGTATAAATCATGAAATCCCATCAAGATCAAGTTTTGGGATTAGAGAAATGTAATGAGAGCTTTTTAAAAAGTCACATTGTCTGGATACCAACCAAGAGCTACCAGTTCATTTGATCTAGAGTTGGGGCCTGGGCAGTCTTGTTACTGTTTTTTTGAACCTTTTGGATGGCTTTTAAAATATAGCCACGATTGCGAGCCACTGAAATAGACCATGCCACATTATAATATTCATATTTGGGTATAATTAAATCCATACAAGTATAAGGAACAAAAGAATTGGCTAGTTTTTTTTTGTGGGAGACAGAATTACGAAGTGTCTACCTGCTCTTCCAGCAGTGAAAATGGATTCAGTTGTCACTTCAAATTGCACTTAACCAGTGGAAGTAGTGGGTATCCTTCAGAAAAAGTAGCTCTTCCCCTTGGCCTGATTTGTCAGGAATTTCTTCCTATTTATGTGAATAATTCAGTGATAGTTTGAATTTTGTTTGAGATGATTCAGGATTACCAATGCAAATCTATTTTCACTTTTGAAAAATGACTCATTTGTGTTCTTATCTCACCTTAGCAGGAGATAAGGTTGTATAAGGATGTCAAAATACTAATTTATACTAGAATACTATAAATTTAGAACTTTCTGTAATTTGGGCCTGTTTTATTATTTTTCTGATTCTCCCCTTTTTTGTATGAGGTAGGTATGTAGACTAATTAAAGTGATAGAAATAAAAACTTATTTTTTTTTACTTAATTTTTTTCAGACTGACAACCAGCTTAAACATTACTTACATATCATTGAAAATAAACCCCTTTACCCAGTTATCTATGATAGCGGTGGTGTTGTCCTTTCCATGCCTCCTGTCATCAATGGTGAGTTACTTCTTTAGCTTCGTAGATTTCTTGCTGTTTCCTCTTAGACTTCAATATTTCTGTAGAATTGAGGCTTCTAGGCTTGGGTGAATCAAATCTTAGGTCTTTTGTAGACTTTATTGTAATAATTCTTCTCAACAACACTTTACTGATGATTTTTATATGTTATAGATGTATAAATGTTGATAAGCTTATAAATGTTTATAAGTTTATAAATGTTTTCTGGTGTCAGTCTCTCGATTATGTTATATTCCTTCAAAAGGTGTTGGTATTTTGGTTTTAGCAGGCAATTCATTTAGTTAAACTCAAAAGTCAGATTGTCTGGCCTGATGTTTTATAGTTAAATTAAAACTTTTAAACTGAATTTTATATCCTTAACTCCTTACTGAAGCCTTTTTCATGAGGCAACTTGAATGTATTTATAAAATGTAATGGTGTTAAAGCCACAAATGTTTGTCTTTCTGTAGGTGAGAAGGGGGTTTAGTTGATTCACAGTGGGAAGGAGAGACTTTTCCTTTCCAAGATCTTGGGCTCTAGTAGTTACAGTGAGAGGAGCCTGGGCATCAGAGTTGGCCAGACTCAGACCTCAGTGTTAGCCTTGCTGCTTAGTAGCTTGTGATGGGGGTCCATGAGCTTACCCTCTGCATCTTAGTTGTCCCACCTGTACGTCCATCACAGGGTTGTGAAGAGGGGGTAAGACAGCCTCTGTTAAGTGCTTGGCAGAGCGCCTGGTACACTGAATCCACTCAGTAAACTTGCTATTTTATCTTCAGTATTCAGCTTGCTGTGGTGGTTTAAAATAAAAGTTGCATGTCCCCTTACCTCTGATATATCCGTTTACATTGTGTTCTAATTTAGATTGTAGTTTCTGTTTTGTGGAACTTTTTAGTGCACCTGTATTTCTGAAACTGCTGTTATTGTTATTGTTTTATATTCAGGAAATCGTTCCAAAATAACAGTAAATACCAGAAATGTATTTATTGAATGCACAGGAACTGACTTTACTAAGGTAAGTAAATTTCTATTTCATTTTTACATAGTCAGATAGGATAGATTTTACTTCTGGGCCAAGGCTATATGGCTAACTTCAAAATGTTTATTTTGTAGGTGGGAGCATACTTTAGGAATTTAAAAAATTAGAAACATATTCTGCACTTTGGTTATGGCGCTTTCATTCACTCAACAAATGTTTGGCAAGCACCTTCTACATTCCCAGCACCATGAGTTTAATAAGGAATTAACATGTTTTTTGACTTAAAGGAATTTGTAGTTTAGTGGGAGAATTAGCCACATACTTAACTCTAGAACAGAGAATGGCATAATTATTGTGATGCTATCTGTGTCAATTGTTTATCTTAGTTGGCTTAATTTAAAAGCCAGGTAATTTGGTACCTTTGTGTACTTGGTAAAAAAAAAAAGTTTTTTAAACAAACTGTCTATAAAGAAGTTTTATTTAGCAAACTGGCAAGGTGTTTAGGCACACAGTGATATCTAGAATATTCAGAATACTAGTTCACTCACTCTTGGTCACTACATAAATTTGGTCACTACATACGCATATTGAATTAGATTACTGTGAAAGCTTTTTTCTACAGCATTTGACTTCTTTACACATGTTCAGTCAGGCACAGGGTGAAGTGGCAGTTAAGCAAACTAAGAAAGATAAAGTTGAATGGCAGGAGAAGGCTGGCATATAGTAGAGGGACAGATAAATGGTAAGAAAGATAAAGTTGAATGGCAGGAGAAGGCTGGCATATAGTAGAGGGACAGATAAATGGCATTCACATACATCTTACAGGATTTGAGACCATTGTAAGGTATTTCATTTGTAACTTTTATGTACCATATTTGCCTTCAGAAATATTGTCAGAGTAACATAGGTCTTACTATTTAAAATATTTTAATTCCTACACTGACAGACCTTAGACAGCTTCCCTGAAGTTTATGTATAGAGTGGCGTATATATAAAAGCAAAGCATATATCCCATTAAGGTTACTGTATTTTTTCCTAAGCTTTTTTTTCAATTAAAAAACATTTTAACAAATATGGGTGGCCCTAACTATGTGCCAGGCTTTGCTCCATGTCATGTACACACATATATACATATGTGTGTGTGTGTATAGTGTTAGCCACATATGTAGAACAGAGAATGGTGTAAGCATTGTAATGCCATCTGTGTCAAATGTTTATCTTAGTTGGCTTAATATAAATGCTTACAAACATACATTTAATCCTCATAATAACCAGTGAGGTAAGAACTTATATTATCTACTCTCAATAGATAAACAAAATAAGGTACTACAAAGTTGGTAAGTGGCTGCCCAGGGTCAAACTACAAATAAGTGGTTGAGGCAGGAGTCTGGCATCTGGCGGCAGCTTTGTAAGACAGATAAAATTTACTCCTGTTGTTAGCCATTTGTGTCTCTCAAAACCTGATGAATTCAAGGGAGGGGGCCCAGGGAAGTAAATGATATGTCTCAGTCATGAACTATAACTCTCAGAGAACTGCATAAATGCAGAACACCTGAAAATAAGGACAGGTCCACTTTATCAGCTGGGAAGTTTTTATTCTACTCCCTTTTTTAGAATGTATACATATATAAAGGTCCATTTTCAGATGTTTGGGGACTAAATTATATAAAACAGTAATTCATTTCCATCTGAGTGAAGGGCAAGTACACTTAGAGTTTACTATAGTATTTGTCTTTTTACTTTGCAGGCAAAAATTGTTCTTGATATTATTGTCACCATGTTCAGTGAATATTGTGAGAATCAATTTACGTAAGTTCACCTTTATTAATGGCCTGTTGTTCCAAAGGCAAAAAGCACTGAAGCCTTGTGCTAAATATAAAGATGAAAAATGTGGCTCCTACAACTAAGACATATCATCTCTTTGGGGAGTTGAGACATATGCATAAATAATATATAAAATTAAGTGATAAGTACATTAAAAAATGTAAAAGACGATCTGGTTGTTAGGACAAGTTACTGCTTCGCTGAGGCAGTCTGGGCAGACATCACAGAGGTAGTGAAATTTAAACTGTTTAAGTATCAGTGGATTTGAGAATATGAAAAATGGAGCAGCAACAGCTAAACAAAGGCAGAGAAGCATAGATAAAAGCAAAGCATATGTCCTGTACATATCAGTAAGATTACTGTATTTTTTTTTTCCAAAGCTTATTTTTTCATGAAAATTAACAAGCCAACTGGCCCTTATTGAGTGCCAGCATCGGTGTTTATTCTGGAGTATTAATTACAGGTCACAATAACTGTAACTGCAGAAAGCAGTGCTGAAATTGCACAGGCAGCATCAGTCTGGGTTTTCGAAACTGATCTGCATTTCAGCGGTTGTGTCAGTCAGCGTCCGTGGCGTGACACATCACCCTGGGAGAGCCTGGGATGTGCAGATTAAAATTGGCAAGGAGTCCATGAGGCTGCGTGCTTTGCAGTCCTGGAAGTACACACCCACTGGGCCTCGGGAAGGAGAGTGATGTCGTTATTCAGGAGGGTTAGTCCAAACAGCAGTGTTGGGAAGTGAACAGATTGAATGTTTCGAGGCTATGGTTATAGACCAAGTGAAAGATGTGTTAGCCATACATATTTCTAGAACTGATGGCTTTTTATTTTCTTAAGTAATTAATTTCTGGCATTTTTTTTCCCTCCAAAGGGTTGAAGCAGCTGAGGTAGTTTTTCCTAATGGAAAATCATATACCTTTCCAGTAAGTATTTAAGAAGTGACGTGGTGATAATAGTAATAGCTACAGAGTGCCCATGGTCTGTATGTCTGTCCATCACCCACATGCCAGGCACTCTGCTTTGTGCATTGTACAGATTTAACCCACACATCAACCCTGTGAGGGGTGGGTGCTATTATTATTTCCTTTTCCAAATGGAGATATGGTGACCTTGAAATGTTAAATGGCTTGCCTATTGCTACTATTAAGTGGTGGGGCAAGGATTTAAGCCCAGACAGTCCAACTTCAGCTCCTGACATATTACACCATAGCATTATATGGCCATGGTTCCTGTGATTTATTCTCTTATTAACTAGTTAACTGGGTAATTAATAGTTGTACCCCTTTTAGGATTATTCAGCCCTCCAAACCTAATTAGTCTGTTCACACTTGAATTAACAGCTGCTGAAGGCCATCGTCATAACAATAAATAATTCCAACTGTATTAATAGAACTAATTTTGTAGTAAGCATAATATTATGAGGATATAGAATCTTGGTAAAAAATCTAAGCCAGCATTGTTCTTAACTGACTGGGCTCTTTTCCCCAAGATGGCTTTATGCATACAGATGGCCATTCTAACACATGCCAGTATCACAGTCACTCAGTTGTGGTTCTGATTCAGGGAGGTTATTCTTTGAGCTTTTCTTTGAATTTTCACGATTTCTCTGTCATTTATGAAGTAATTCAGAGCCTATGATACTTTCTAATATTTAAATAACTTGTAAAGTACATAAAACATGCCAAGATCAAAATCTTCCCCTTTCTGAAAATATTAGCATTTAGCATCATATTTTATTTTAGAGTATTAATTAGAATGAAGATAAATGAAAACTATAAAAAGCATAACTGCATTATGGGCAGTATCAGTTTTTTAAAAAATTGATTTTAATGACTGTTACCAGTTTTTGTTTTACCTAAAGACTCAGTGACTTAAAACAGTGATTTGTTTTTCTCATGATTCTGTTGGCCAGCTGGGTAGTTCTTCTGGGCTGGGCCTGCCTGGCTGATCTCTGCTGGGCTCGCTTCTGTGTGGTCAGGCAGCTGGTAGGCCTGCAGTTGGCTGACTTGGGACCACCTCGCTCACACATCTACTTCTTGGCCTGGGGTTGACAGCTAAGTGCCTCTCATCATCCAGGAGACTAGCTTAGTCTTCATTACATGGCGGTGGTTGCAGCTTTCCCAACAGCAAGAGAAAATAACTCGGCTGCATTTAAGCATGGCGTCCTGTTGGCCAAACCCAGTCCTTCTGCCAGATTCGAGGAGGGGAGAAATAGGCTCCATTTCCTGATGGGAGGACCTGCAGTGTCACATTGCAAGGCCATGGATGCGAGAGAAAAATTTGTGGCCATTTATATAGTTTACCACAATAGTAATTGGGATTAGCCAGGGGTAGCTTTTTAGCCTATTTTAAAATAATGTCTGATTTGAGTTTATTTTTAAAATGAATTGTTAAGTGTTAGTAAAAGTAAAATACGTACTTTTGGGGAGAAAAAGAAATAGATCTTAAAATGTGGGTCCCTTTTTTCCTCATGTAGCTAATTCCTTGAAATCCCTTATTTGTATTAGGAAGAGCTTTCTCAGGTCTGAAACGGTGGGCTCTGAACAGGAGTGCTGCACTCTTGGTGTCATTTGTTAATGTTTAAACTTATGAACTCAGATTGGAACAGCTTTCTCAAATTGTCCTCCCGGAAGAGAATAATCCTCTGGGGGAAACTGATTCTTCCTCACATAAAAGAACATATTTTCCTAAATATCTTGGAAGTTCTTTCCTGGTCTTCTGTTACTTCATGTAAAAGAGTAGAGCTTGGAATAAGAGAGCTAGAGGAGATAATAAGTGGCAGTAAGCAGAGAGACTAATAGTGGTGTGAGCTTTGGAATTAGGCTGCCTGAATTTATTAATTCGTTAGTTCATTTATTACTGCATGTATGCATTTATTCCTTAACTATATACTGCATGCTTGTTATCTGACAAGCATTTTCTAAGCACTAAGAATACAGGTAGCAGTACTAGGGCTCAGCAGCTTATCACACTGATGTGATCAGGGAATAGTTATTAATCTAAAACTCAGATTCATTATCTACAGAATGGGAATACTAACTAATTGTATCTGCTGTGAGGGTGTAGATTATCTTAAAAGTCTGTCTTGTGCTGTTTAGCTTAATATCAACTGTTTAGTACAGGTTTGTTGCCACTGGTGGAGTCATTAGCATCTAGTCCAGTACTTCTCAAACTCTATTGTGCAACGCATCCTCTAGGGATCTTGATAACATTCAGGTTTGAATTCAGAATGTCTGATGTAACTGCCACTGGCTGTAAAGGCCTGAGTGTCTGCGTTTCTAATAAGCACTTGGGTGATGATGAGAACTGCATTTTGAATAATGTAGTTATTATCCAATAGGCCCTGGCCCATTGTCTTCACCTCAGTCCAAAGAGGTTTTTAAATTTATGGCCTTTTTGCTAGTGGCACTTACACTTTTGAGAGTAATTCAGTGATAAGAAATATTCATAGATATGTTTCCAAAGGTGCTGAAAAGCCTGAGTTTTACATATGTTTGTTCCTGCCTTACATGGCGAAGTTATGTACTGTTTGAAGGAGAGTGAGTGCAAATTTGTGAGGTGCTCCCAGCCCTACTGTCTCCTGGAGCAGATTGATAGCTAGTAATAGGGGCATGGTTGCCTGTCCCCATCTGGAAAATAAGGAGTGTTTTCTAATGCTCTTAGACCGAGTATGATGCATAGGATATTGTGAGTCATTCTTTCTCCGTCATAAGCACCTGATTGCATGAGATGAGGCTGAAAGTCATTAGGAAGATTTATAAGCACTTTATAAATAATGTAACACACCAGTGCTTGACTGTAGAGAATGGTGATCACCTAAAAGAGAAAAATGCTTAGCATTTTATATTATTTCCGAGCAGTTCAAGTTTAGCAAGTAGAATGTTCATATATGAATCTAATGCAGCAAACTTATTCCTCCATAATAATGTCTTGAAATACCAAGTTAATTTTCAATGTTGGGCTCTAATGACAGTTTTTGGGGGAGGCTAATGAAACTACAACAGTAAGGATGAGTTGAATGAAAATGAGTAACATATCTGACAAAGAATGATATAAACTTTTCGAACTTTTTCTCTTTAAGGAATTGGCTTACCGTAAGGAGATGGTGAGAGCTGATCTAATTAACAAAAAAGTTGGAATCAGGTATGCTCTGAAACCTCATTTATTTATATACTGTTGGAGGGAACTGAAGAATGAAGTGCCCACAAGACTATTTAGTTTTTCCTGAAGGAATGTGTAGAGAGGGTTTTGATAATCCCTTCAGAGTAAGGAAGTAAAGACAGATGATCTGTTAGGAAGTGTGGTATCTAAGGAACTTAGAAAGAAAGGTTACTATTGCAGGTGGTAGCATATTTTAAAATAAAATATAAACATTTTAAGTGATTCAGTGAAATTTATGGTTTGTACACTCCTATTTCAGAGAAACTCCAGAAAATCTTGCCAAGCTTCTGACCAGGATGTATTTAAAGTCAGAAGTCATAGGTGATGGGAATCAGATTGAGATTGAAATCCCTCCGACCAGAGCTGATATTATCCATGCATGTGATATTGTAGAAGATGCAGCTATTGCTTATGGATATAACAACATTCAGATGACTCTCCCGAAAACATACACCATAGCTAATCAAGTAAGATTGCACCCTTAAATAAACACTCCTTATTGTTAGAAACTGGTTATTGAATGCCAGGAAGGCTTCGAGAAAAACAGAACATAGGAATTAAGCAGTATTTGAACATGCTGTGCTATGAGAGGCATTTGCTATGGGGAGGATACAAAACAGATGCCCAATTGATTAGAGTAAGTCGAAAACCTGTGATGGTTAGTTCTTTGAAGAAAGGCAGGTTTTGAGTTTGGAGCCCTTATTGAACCTCTAACTGGGAGATTCATTTTTTCAACTTGGCCTAAAGTCAGAAGCTGTGTGTGGGAGAAGTGGAGGCGGGGAGTTCGCAGTCTGCAGAGGAATCTGCATATCTGCAGAGTTTGCGTATCTCAGGAGTGTTAGGGCCGTGGGGAGCCCGTGGTGGTGGTGGTGGAGGTGGGCAGTGGGAGGTCCTGGCAGGTATGTTAGTGAGGGTGGAAGGGTGTTTTCCTTTTAACAACATTCTGCATACATCTCTCTTACAAAAGCAAAAGTGGAAAATTTTATTAAGGTGAAATAAATAAATTTTTTTCAGTTTCCTCTTAATAAGCTCACAGAACTTCTACGATATGACATGGCAGCTGCTGGCTTCACTGAAGCGCTGACCTTTGCTCTGGTACGTCTTGGGTGCTTTTTCTGTCCAGCTGATTGTTTACATTGAATTGCTGAATTACTTATTCTGTGATTCAATATATGAATTTATAAAATCTAGACTGCTAAAATTTCCAGGTTCCAGAAGAATAACTTTGTAATTTGAGATGATACAGTTTCTGGTGAAGACATGTTGATTTCTTTTTTTAGTCTCAGAAAGACACGAAGGACAAAATGTCTTAAATGACAGATGCGATGTATCTTACAGTTGCATGTAAATGTTGAGGAGTCACAATGAATTTCATAACCAAGTACTAAGTTAGAGGTTTTCGTCTTGATTTGGTTGTGGCTGTGCCCGCTAGATGCCGCCCTGGTTAAGGGTTTATGGACTGTTCCACATTAAACTTACTTCTTTGTCTTTGAACATGTTCACAAACATTTGCTTTGAGTTGAAAAGCTGACATAAAAGGCCTAAATCAGGAAGTGAATTTTATTACAAAATCAGAAGAAACTCCCCCCACCAGATTGACCATTTGAAAAAAAACCAGTGTGTGTGCCGTTGTCTCTCCCTCTTCTCTCCTGCTGAGCATGTCTGTGGTGCCCACAGTGTGGTTCAGTATTTAGGTAAATTTCAACTTGAGGTGTAGGGCAGAAATCAAGCCAAAACATCAACATCCAAAAGGTTACTTCTTTTTCTCCCTCCAGCTCAGCTCCAGCCCCCAAATTCTCGAGTCTTAGAGTATGAGCAGTAGGTTTTGGCTTTGTCACTGCGGAGCGCCCGTGTCTCGGGGAGAACATACTCTGCCTGCTGACTAGTGGCTGCTCTGCAGGGAGTTGCCCCTCTGTCAAGGGCTGTGTGGAGGCGCGTCCCTCTCGTGGTGCTGGCAGCCGGTCAGCTGTGGGCCAGGGCCTCTGCATCCAAGGCCTGTCACTGAGCTGCTCAGCGGGAGTGCCAGAGATGGTCTGTCAGCTGCGCCAGGTCCCTACAACACACTGGCCTCACTCTGGGGAAAAGGAGTGAGGTGCGAGAGTTGCAGATTTGTAGTAACACTGTTCCTATAGGAATTTCAACTTAAAGGCACTTATAAAGTAACTTTATGAACAAACCAGCACATCATTGGGCCTTCTATCTTGTTTTCTGCATGAGTGACAGCCCTTCTTTTTCTAAAACCCAGCCTTTGTCTTTTCAAGTGTGAGGCACATCTCATCATTATGATTTTGCTCTATCAGTATACTAGTTGTAATGGTTTCTTTTAAGTTAGCTCACTTTTAAAACTACCTTCTTTAGCCTTGTAAGAATAGTATTCATAAAAATTTCAGGCTCATTTACTTGTTATATATTTTCTAACACATTAAAATAAACACATAAATATTAGTACTTTTAAGGCTACTGCCACTTCAGGATTTAAACTGCTTTGTATCTTTGTCCCTTATCATCCGTCCTCATGGCAAAGCATAAGGTCACGTGGCTATCTAGCTGTGTATCACCATGTGTCTTTGGAGCCTTTTTCTTTTGTATAAACAAGTCCTACTTCTATTGCATCATGTAAATTGCATTTCCTAATCAATCCCTTTATAATCTAAAACTCCGTGCTGTGGGGGAAAAATCAGATATTCCCAGTATGCCTGCTACCATTGTCCACCTCTGCAGCCATGGCAGATCAGGGAGCCCTTGTCTGCTATGCCCGGATGTGACTTTAGGATCCTTCCCAAGAGAGCATGGCAAGAATTCTTAGAATTGGCAATGGCATAAAACAAATCTAAACCCATCCTTTTTTTCCAAGTGAAATACAGACCAGCTAGACCTCAGAGGCCATTGTGTAGAACAGGCCAGTGAGCTGAATCACTTACTGTTGGAATACTTCAGTAATCTGATGGCACATAAGTTTTCATGTTAAGTTTTAAGTTCTTTTGCAAAAAGCTAGCACTAGTGTATGTACTAACTGTTCTTATTAATGATTTATTGCTAATCATTGCTAATACTTTTTGAGCACTTAGTTTGTGTCAGGTATTTTATTTGCACTATCTCTTCTCATCATTAGTCTTGATGTACCTAATAGTGAGTTTTATTTTATTACTACCCTATCATCCTAGGTTTTGAATGTGATAAGCACCTTCCTCTTTTTGGTGGGTGACTGCTTACCAGGTGACTTTTTGCGAAGAGCTTTATCAAGCACATACACACAAAAGTGAGATGATAAAGTAGAGCAGTGGGCAGAGTTCAGGCCACTTGAATTTTGCTCTCACGCCTACCATTCTGCCGCAAGTGAGCATGGAGTTGGCAGGGCCTCTCGTGGTAGTCAAGACAGAAAGCCAGAGGAACACCGAGGAGGGAGAGCGGATCTCTGACTCGAGTCATCAGGGATATTTTTATGACGAGTTAGAAGACATGTCAGATGTCATTTAAGTAGAACGTTGGGACATGGCAGCAAGTAGGCAGGGGAAGCATTTTAGATAAAGGTAGGGAACAGTGTAAGGTTCAGGGAATGGGCAGCGAGTTGTAGGAGAAACGGGTAAATGGGAAGGGCCTGGGTGCAGTTGTACTTCCATCTCCATTTGAAAAGTTTACATTAGCTCTCCATCACGGGTGGAACTCATTGTAAGAGAACTGTTAATATTAAAATGCGTCTGCTGCAGGCCTGAATTAGTTGATACCTTTCTTATCTTATTCTTGACTGATTTATATAATCAACATTGCTACGAGACCATAAGTTGGTGTATAGCATTAAGTACTTTTTCTATTAGATTGAGTCATTGCTTTTCCATATTGATCTCCTTTGTATGTGCTTCTTAGTGCTCCCAAGAAGATATTGCTGATAAACTTGGAGTGGACATCTCTGCAACAAAAGCAGTCCACATAAGTAATCCTAAAACAGCTGAATTTCAGGTAAGAATTTTAAGTTGATAAGAATTTGTGTATAAATGGAGAAGCCATACATGAATTATGGAAGGATTCTTCAGTTATTGTACCTCAGATGGCAAAATCTTGGAGCTTTTTAAAAATCAAGTTTATAATTGGTTTGTACATAGTTTGTTGATGAAAAATCCTGGAACTTCTTAAGCTTTTCCTGATAACGTTAGAGTTGGGCTTTGCTGGCTTTGTGTGGTCTAGCTCAGCCTTTCTTGTTTGCACTTTCCATTTCACAGTTGATTTTTAAATTTCATTTTCAGTGTTCATCTCCTTTCCACCTGTTTGTAATGAATGAATCAACGGCTGCTCCCGGGATCTCCATTAAGTCATTCCTTTGAAATCAGTTGTTACATCAGTTCTTGACGGCTGCCTGTGTCTTAACTGGTTTATTGACAGTTTCATGCAAAGTGTAGGACTGTTTGAGAATGATACAACCTTAATAGTAAATGACAAAGGATTTACATTATAGATTAGGATATTAAGAGGTATAAAAAGAACATTTCAAGGTTATAATAGCTTTGCTTATTTATGACTTCAGATTGTTTCACCTCTGCCATACCAGTAAGCTCTCATTCTATTTTTCTTGCATATGTAATTCTTTGATTATTTTAACACAGGCTGTAGAGAAAATCTTGTCTTCTAAATTCAAGGGGAATCCTTGAATTGGTAGAAAATGCTTCGAAGAAAGTTGATACTTATAAGATATCTGAACTGTCTGATTTGAGATAGTTTCTTTGGATCTTGGCTTTCACTTCTGTAATAGTAGGGGGCTGGGTTCTAAAAATTCTAAAAATTTCTAAAAATGTTTAAATCTAACTATAAAAAATCTATCACTAGAACTACCTACTAATGTGGCATATTAGAGCTAGACTAGTTAAAGAACTAATTGGTAATATGTAGCAAGCACATGAATTTTTTCTCTGTATTCAAGGTTAGAACTTTGAGGAATCTCTATTCTGATTTGGAAGGATTGTGATGAGTTTTTATATCTGGTTTTCTGAGCTCACTAGCTTTTCTACTGCTTTTAAAAGATGCTCACAGTGTTCTTTTTAGTAAGAGACACTCAAATTCATTGGCATAGAGTAATTTTTCAGTAAATCTTAATGGATTTTTATTTGAGTTTATTCCAAATTTCCCTTTTTCTTCCAGTTTTCACTTATCAAACTTGATAGGTTTCATAAGATGTGGTAATATTATGTTCTTTAGGATTTATATCCTATCTTACCTATTTATATAAGTGGAAGGAAAACAAATCAGAAACACATTACATGTCACTATAAATAGCAGTGGCTTAGCACACTTAATATTTCTGTATAAAAAGCATTACAGATGAAAGAATCTATCCTTTAGACTTGGTAGATTCTGTATTTTACTCTTGCTTTACCAACAGATATATATATCCTGCCATTACTAATATGACTAACTGGCTTATATTTGTTTATTGTTAAATGTAAAATTGTTCATGGGCTTTTAACACTTTCTTACCTAAGCCTATTCTTTCTCCTGCATAATTGTTAATTTTGGACTGTTTCTAATAGTAGATATGTTAGAAAATGGGTAAAATAAGAGAAATGGTATTTAATTAAAATATGTAAATATTATTACAAGTGTAAGCACTACAAAAATTACAATTATAATTATATAATTATATTAATTTTAAGTAAAATTACAGAATATTGTATCTCCTCAAATTAGCAATAATATTCCTTAATATCCTCAAATATCCAGTCATTATTCAAATTTTGCAAGTTGTCTCAACTCTTTTATTTAATAGTTTGTCTGATTTGGGATTCAAGTGATGTTCATACATCAAAGTTGATTGTGCTTCTGCAGTATCTTGATCTACAGATCGCCCCTGTATTCACTCCTCCTTCCCTCTCTCTCTCTTCCTCTCACTTTGTTAAAAAAATGGGGTCATTTGTCCTGTAGAGTGTTGTGGGATCTAGGAGGGCTGCTCTTTAAGCTGGGGCTGTCAGGGCAGGCCTCTGTGGGAGAGAGCTTGGAGCAGAGACTTGAAGAAAGAAATTAACCACATGTGAATCTAGAGGAAGAATATGTGAGGCAGGAGAAAGAAGTATGGGGGCTGGAGAAGGAAACCTGCTTGCGGTGTGCGGCTCAAGTGCAGTCAGCCAGGAGGAGCAGCAGGTGTTGAGGTTGGAGAGGAGGCCAGGGCCGGATTGATATAGGGCCCCTTGTAGAGCATGGATTTTATTCAAAATCTGATGGAAACCTGTTACAGATTTTTGAGCAGGGGAGTTCCACGATCTGATTTAGATCACTCTGTATGGAGAATAGACCATAAGGTGTCAGGTGGAAGCAGAGAAACCAGCTTAAGAAGTTCGTGCAATAGTTTGGGCAAAAGGTAATGAATGGTGTTGGAGTCTGATTGCAGAGCCCAGACTCTGAGCAATGTCATACTACTGCTTATAAAACTCTCCCAGTAATAGGATGGTAAAAGCTAACATATCTTACAGAGCTTAGAATGAAAAATTTATTTCATGGATGTAAGCAGGGAAGTTTTCCTTTTTTTTTTTCTCCTTTTCCTTTTTAAAAGAAGTGGGATGTTTATTTGTATTTCTTTGGCTGCTAAGCTGAAAACTATAGTCACAATCTTTCCATAGTAGCTGCATAGTTGTTTTTAGTGCCATGCCTACACATTTGTGTTGTTTGCCTTCCTTAATTCTATTTATATTTTCCGTGGTTCTGGTTTTTAAATTTTTTGGTTAATTTATAGTTCTATCTATTTAAGTATTTGTATTTCTTATAATCTACATCAATTACTTATAAAATCAAGCAGGATATGAAAATTTACATATTTGAGTTCTTGAAAGTGAACTTAATTTTTAAAGTGATAATAGAATAACCAATCCAAGATACAATTATATTTAGGTTAAAAATATTTATTTCTCACTTATCTTTTTAATCAAACTATGGTTTTCATTTTGTAAGTTGGGATGCCTGAGTGCTTTCAGTTTTTTTAGTGCCCCAGAATTGAAAATTAAAAATGACTGGGATATTTAGGCATTACATTTTCCAGAAGTGTCTTCCTGTGAGGCCATGGAGTCTTGCGGCTGTTTCTTTAATCAAGCCCGTCTGTCTGGTTCCCTTCGGTCAGTGCAGTTTCACGTCTTGTCCTGTAGGTGGCACGCACTACCCTTCTTCCTGGCCTCCTGAAGACCATCGCAGCCAATCGGAAGATGCCCCTTCCTCTGAAACTGTTTGAAATCTCTGACATTGTTGTAAAAGATTCTAGCAGAGGTAAGAATGCAATCTGTGACACGGTTATACACGTCTGTCTGACGGCTTCAAGCTGCAGCTAAGGTCTGCTCTTGGTGGGTGGGGCCCCCACATGACTAAATTGCTGGCAGTTTTTCCTTGGTGCCCTAGATTGAACAGTTCTAAGTCCTAGCAGTATTTTTCAGAGAGTCTTACTTCAGACTACAGAATTCAGAGTGTGTTCTTTCGAATCAGTTGACAAAAGCAGAGGCCTTGTCCTCCGTTTCTCCTCACAGAGGATAATATGGTCTCATCCTAACTATCAGAAGTAGTCCCGCACTATTGGGAAATAGGTATGATAGAGGAATGTGCGCCTCGCCTGGCCGCCGCGGCCCGTCCAGAGCAAGCCTCCCAGCCCGCGCTGCAGTCCTGCCGCGCCGCAGTGTGCAGCCTGTTTCCAGCCAGCATCACCTTGCATTCGGGTGGTGCTCTTTACTTTCAAAATATTTTTTTCTACGCATACCTTTTCTCTTTTGATTGTTAAACCATCTTTTTGAGGCAGATGGGACAAAAAAATACTGTCCCATTTAATATATAGGAAAATTAAGACAGAAAAGTGGAAATTTCCCCAAGGTTACATAAATATTAGACTTAGATCCAGGGCTGGAATTTTTATCTCAGTGCACATATTCTTAGAGAATGAAAGTTCATTTTAATGTCAGTCTATATAGAATTTTCTTTGAGTTAAATCTGTAATAGCAATCAGAAAACATTTTCAGTAAGAGCTTTAAATAGTTTTGAAGGTTCTTGTGCCTCAAATCCTCCACTGGTGGAGATAATGGAGAACTTGTTATAACTCCACGTCAGATTTTTCTGCTCACTTTCACTTGTTCCCTTTTTGTCTTAGTTCTTTGAGTTTTATGTTGTTTTTATCCTTGATGATCCACACGTATTTATAAATACAGGACTAGGTTAATTATACTAGGTTTCCTCAAAAGTTTTGTTATGCTGTTTCAATAACAGCCTCTTCCCTAATTGCAGGGGCTCCCCCTGGGACTCTGCAGTGCCAGGCACTCTCCGAGCAGGCAGCTCGGTCTAGAGGGTGAGGAGCAAGTGGGGTCCCCACAGCTGCCGCACAGAAATTGTCGCTCTAGGCACAGAGCACTTTACTGTATTGCAAATCTTGGTGGTGGGGTTTTTGCTGTTTCTCTTTTCATCTTTTCATCTTGGGAAGGACTAGACATAGACTCCACTCTACCCCAAGGCCTCTGCTTAGGGACAGCCTCCCCTATTGAAGAGCGCTATGAAGTACTAGTGCTTTAGGCCCCTGTTTAAGAAGTCACCCTGGTGATTACCCCATCCCCAAGTCCATATACTTTTTAACTCAAAGATGTGCATTTCTGTTGGACTTCATTTCATCTCTATGATAGACCTCTTTTATTCCTGTTTCTAGCTGTGATTATTTTGCTCTGTTTGCATAATATTATGCTTTGTTTGCACTGAGCAGTTTGCATCTGATCTTACTTCTGCCTGTTGTCTTGCACTATTATGGTTTATTATCATTATTTAAAATTTGAAGAGTCGGAGGCAGTTCATATGTGTGTCAGTTTACCATCTTGAAAACATAGGTTTTCTTTAATTTAGTTGGAGTATGTTTCCTCTTTAGGTAGGCCTGGATCTTATTTTTATAACAAAAGTAGCTTTTCTGATGGATTATTCTAAATATGAACATGAGGACTCCCTGCCCGTCATCTGGTGCACGTAGAGGATTCTACAGGAGAGACAGCACAGCACCACGGCTCCGAAGGGAGACTGTGTGGCCAGAGCGCCTGCGTTGAAGTCATAGTTCTCCCTCCACTTACCAGCAGTTTAGTTTTGGACAATTTATTTAATCTCTCTGGGTCTCAGTTTTTCCTCATTTGTACAGTGGGGATAATGATAATATTTATTTCATTAGATTTATTACAAGGATTAAATGAAATTGAATTTTGAAAAGTTTCAGCCACACAATAACCACTGTTTTTTGGTGTCTGCTCTTTCTATTAGGGTATTAGCAATCCCTACAGTCAGACACCTAGCATCCTGGTCTCTGCTCATATTCTGAGTGAATGACTTGAAAATCTTTGCTGGCCATTAAAGGGTTAACACTGCCTTCCTGAGGCTCTTAGAGCTCATTTTCATCCTAACCTTTGACTTTATTGGTTTTCTTCTGTTGTGCACTATTTTTTTAGGATAAGAGAACTACATACTTATGTGGGGATTTACTTAAGAAAAACAGGAATGTTGTTTTTTCAGTAATTTATCAGCTACTTCTTTTCAATAAATTAAACATGTTTTTACTGTCTTTCAAACCAATAAGCATTTATTTCTCTGTTGGATTTATGTTAGCCATTTCCTTATAAATAGTGAAAGTATTTTGAAGAAAATCTAGGCCATCAAAAGTGAAGTGATAGAAGGGTTTCCCATTTAACATAAAAACTTCCCAAGCCTTCATTAGTGGGGGCAGTCCCTAAACTACTGGCTCAAAAGGGCTAAAGAAGTGTGGCAAGAGTGAGTGAGCCAGTTCCATTCGTTGTATTGGTAGAAAAGTACTTTTGAGTTCCTTTTTAGCTGGGGACTGCTTGGAGCAGAAGAGAGTTGCCCGTCATGAGGGAGACACACTGGTGAACGGGTTTTTACAGATGGTGCTCTGAGGGGGTGTGCAGGGTGCACGGAGAAGGAAGTGACGGTCACCACTGACTGGTTCTGTAGCATTAAGGCAAACCCCCCCCACTCCCAACCCATGTCAGTTTTGTGTAGCATGTCTTCCAAAATGGAAATGGAAAAGGAATCTATACTGGATTTCAATATTCCTTCCCCAAATTTTGTCCAACCTGTTTTCCTGAAAGACTATCCCCTGTTTTCACCCGTGACCTCACACTGGACAGTTTCACACTAATGTGGACTCTTTGACTGACTATCCATCATCCCTGTTGTGAGGCTCTCAGGCTGGCTGCCTGCTTAGCCACAAAATCAGGCCCACTTCTCAAGTACCAGGATTTCCACTCAGAGATGTATTCTGGTTCTTTGGGGCTGAGCCAAACACTGTATATATTGAGTCATAAGGCCCAAAGATGCTGCAGCATTTAAAAAAATTAGTCGTGACTCAAGGGACTAAGCTGATTTGTCGCTTTTGTTGGGCAGAGTAGCATGTGTCTTTGGAATGAGAAGTTCAATGCAGGTTCTGCTGTGGGGAGAGCTTTTGGCTTTATAACAGGGAAGCAAGTAGAGGCGGCACCGAAGCTGTCAGATCTGGCTGCTGCGTGAGCTACTGATCAGTTTCAATTGTTAAGACTTCTGTTTTTTCTGTTCAGTGTCAAGAACCAACTATAAACAAAATGGTAAAAAATTACTTTAGAGGAGCAAAGGACCAGAAAAGTATCTGTATTTTGCAAAATCTAACATTCTGGCTTTTTATTAATGGCAGATTGAATTCTGCCACCACTGTTTATTCTGCATTGGTCACTGAAACTGCCAGTATGCCTAGCAGCTCACTGGGTTGAGTCTAAATTTAGAATGAACCACAGCGAAAGAACCATGACTTAGTTTGGTTTTATGAAATGTATTAGGGTGATTCTGATTAAGCTTGATACAATCATCCAGTTGACAGTTTGACAGATACCTGTGGAAAACCCTGATAATCAAATTACCATGTACTTTAGTTTCAACTACTGCATTTAAAGAATTTGGGGTCTTAACTATTACAGTAGATGGAATAAGTCAAAGGCCCTTGAGCACTTGGAGGCTCCCCAACACTTCACTTCCTATTCAGCCCTACTTGCTTTCTCCAAAACACTGCTGCAGTCCTACTATAAGCCACACTTCTTCTGCCTGGCCAATCACGCATAGTTTCTAAAATTTCATGTTCTCCCTGAAGCTTTTCTAAATCAGAGAATGACTTTTTACACTGACTAGTTTGGATGTGGAAATCCAGAATTTTTTTTTTCTTTTTTATCTTCAATCACAGTATAGATTTAAGATTCTTCTTCCTTTTTCCTCCCTGGGCCACCATGGCTGCACAGAACATAACTAATTCACTGTTCTTTTATGATATAGTTTGTTCTTTCAATTTGCTTATCAGTTTGTACCATTCCTGTATCTATCTTATATTGTAACCTACTAAAATATATGGGCAGATCTTATAGTTCATTCCATAACTCTTTGCTTGGTAAAGACCTCAATGAAAGTGTTTTCAGCAACTGTTCATTAATTTTGCAGACATCAAATAATGGAAAATTATCTAGCATCCACATGTGGAATGTGGTTCTCTAAAGAGAGTATATATCATCAGTCTAGATTAATATTACTTCATATTTTAGGCATGTAGAATTTCCAATCAATAATTCAAAAAATATAGGTATAAGGAGGAACATTGACATTAATAATACTTGAAGTAACATCATTTGCATATATGATGGCATCTGAACTGTGTAAAAACATCATTTGTAATATAGAAAGTTATTGTAGTACATTTGGTTCTACATAGTTAAGATCTGCTAACGTGTGTATAATGTGCTCTGTCATGCATTGCGTACTGTATTTTTTTAATAGGTAAAAATCCATTCCAGGTTTATGTTAAATAAAAGCCAACCCACAGGGATATAACTTTTTCCTTCATGCATTGAGAAGGTCATAGATTTTTCCTCACATTTATTTCTTGGCTTTCAGCAGTATTTAAAAAAAAATCTGTGCTTCAGTGCTGTAGTGTAGAAGTGTTTTAAAGAAAATTGTTCTTAAATTTTATTTTTGTGTTTAAAAATTGAAAATATATTTGTAACATCTTTAAGAACAAATATATTTTTTTAATTAAGAGTAGTTTTATTCTTTTTGTATTAAAAATAAAGCATATCCAGCTTCTCCCTAATCCTACTCTTAGGATGAGTTGCCAGACATTTTCTCTGCATGTACGACCATATGTTTTGCATTTCTATATATAGCCATAGATACGGGCTAATACTTTGTAGTTTTTACACAAATGGGGTTATGCTTTACCTGTCCTAGATGTTGTTTCTTCCTATGAACATTCTTTCTGCTTCAATCTTTTTAATGGCTGCATAGTATTCCATTGTATGGATGCATTATAATTTACTTAGATTGTTATGAATATTTAGATTGCTACCAGGGTTTTGCTAAAATATGTCCTTGTTGCAATTAATATCCTCATACCCTTATACAAATATGTATTTTTAGAAATAGAATTGGTCAGTCCCTAGGTATGCACACTCAACATTTGCTATCTTGTCAAATTCTCTTCCAAAAAGGATTATTTTTTTAAAGCAAATTTGCAGTCTCAGCAAGAGTGTGCAAATGGTTCCTGTTTTCCCAGATTAGATCTACTTTTTTAAGGTGAGTATCTTTACAAGGTTCATTTAGCTTTTGTGCATCATTTAATACTACACTCACATTCTTCAGAGGATATGTAAAATTTGTAGCATAAGCTACAGTCTCTTGGGCATCAATATTGAAGAAATTTATTGGATGAAATAGACTGAAACTCAAGATGCTTTGTTTTATTTTCTGAGCCTTGCCAGACTATTAATCTCAAGGTCCCATGTCAGCCCCTGATTACCCTGGAAGCCTGTTTGGTTTCCCAGTAGGTGTCCTCCTGGCAGCTTTATTTGGGCTCCTAGGTGAATGTGAGAGGGGAGATGGAGAGGTTCTGCTGAGGACTGCCCTTTTCCAGTCTGTGCTATATGTGATAACATAGCCTAGCAGCCCTGATTTGCTTTTCATCATTGGTACTGTAGTGAAAGAGGATCTTCAACAAGCAGGCACCTCTTCTAAACATTTGAGTTGCCCGCAGTAGTTATCCACCAGGGGACACCATGTGCCATTCTGTTTTCTTTTCTTTTCTTTTAGAAAATCCTTTGGCCTGTTCTTCAGCTCACAGAATCCGAGCCAGCTGCCCCTCCTTTGGGTGGTTTAGATCAGCTTCTCTAGGCAGTACTTTGAAGTCTGTGAAATACATTGGTAATTCAGGCCGACATACTCGGCAGGCCCACTTAAGAAGCAGAATCGTTCGATGGCGTGACACAAGAGGCCTGTTAACTGAGTCATAAAGAACTGAGGCATTTCCAACAGACCCTAGTTTTGGCATGAAATTTAAATAGTTCTTAACATTGTGGCATGCAGTCAGTGGACTTCCTGTGATGTAATATGGTCCCTTGGTGCAAAATACTAGGAAATGGAAATTTTACTACACCTAGCAGTTTCTCCAAGGAGGAATGAGTAATATTCTTTTTAAATTCATTTTAGCTATAGTAGAGGGATTATTTTAGCAAGATCTGGAGAAGCAACTCTAAAGGGAGTGGTAGCACTGGGGAAATGTGAAAACCCAGCCAGTCAGGGGTAGGAAATGGCAGGGGCTGCCTAAGTAATGAGTTTAATTCTCCTGGTGTGTTTAGCACAAAGCCCTAGAATAAATTGCCTTTCTTAAAAATATTACAAAATTGAGTCTAAAAACATATAGATCATTATTGTATGTGTATGTGCTGTAAACATGGAGTGTGATTTTTTAAAAGTCCTTTATTTTTTGTTGTAATTTCACTGTTCTGTACATCAAAGTCACTTAATTTGTTTTTTTAAAATTCGAAGTCATTAAACCAGATGTTGTTTCTCTTATCAGAAAGGTGAATTTTACATAATTTGCAGATCATAAAAGAAGTATTCCAAGGCAAAGGTTATCAAAATAAAGCTTCCAGTTTATGCTGCTAAGCTCTCTGAATGGTGGCATTAGGGGCTATTCTCTCACAGCAAAAACGGGAACAGCCAAGTTGTTTGAGTACATATCTGCGTGTTAAAGTGGAAGCATGTGACACCAGCAAATGGGTACCACATGGCATAGATACCCAGAAGCAAGTCAGTAATGTGAAAGGGATAATTTAGTTCTGTTTCATTTCATTTTTCCCCCCTCAGGGAGTGTGCGCGTGCGCATGCGTGTGTGTGTTCCCACAGAGCAGTCGGGCCCCTCATTTTGGTTTGTGCATGAAGTAGGTTTAGTGAGGCTTTATGCTTGCCTGGTTTTAATATTAATCCTTATTCTTACACCTTCAATTACAGCTTTTAGATAGCAGATTTCTTTATCCTTGCAAATGGAAATGATAGAGAGTGACAGCGGTGCAGTATGCACTCGCCTCCATGAGCTGGCTCTTGTGCTGAGTTGGAATGTGGCCCACTGTCTGGTCTTAGCCTTGTTTAATAGTTATTTGTGTGTGCTTATCTCCCTTTCCAGACTTTATTCATCTACTCAGAGAATAATTGTTGAGGGATTAGTCTGTGCAGGCCACGTGCTGGCTCTGGCCTCTACCCTCTACAGATACCTGGAGTGGAGTGCCTTGAATGTAGTAGGTACTAAGAAATGTTACATGGCCAGAAAAGTTATTTCTCCACATGAGTTCAATCAGAGTTTAACTCAGAATACACTTTCCATGAGTTACAGTGCTATTGATGTCTACAAACTTTAGTTAACTGACTTCTAAAAACTTAATTCCAATTGCTTAACTAGAATTCTTAAATACCATGAAAACTTTTGAAAACTAAAACATCTGTTTATCATATCAAGAACATTTCATGAGTGCCCATCTTTGACTATATTAAGTAGGCATATATCCACACGTACGTTTTCTCTTATATTATTTTCACCTAGATCCTTTAGAGACTTAGGGATTTCATCTAAATCCTTTGGAGATACAGATATTTCCACTGTATAAAGTATGGGTTTTAGGCCAGACAATCCTAGTCAAATCCTGGGTTTGTAACTTATTAGCTATGTAATTAACCACAGTTAGCTCCAGCCAGTTGTCTTGACTTTGGGCAAAATCTTTGAGCTCTTGTTTCTCCATTTTTCACTATCTTATTTTATAGAGATAATAAAACCTAGCTTACTTAATTGACTTGAGAATTAAGATGATAGATACTACATTGATAGGTAGAAAATCCTGGGCACATAGTAGATAATTGGTTAATGTTAACTTCCCTTTCCCTTTTACCCCATTTATGTGCTCATTTTGTATTATTTTAGTAGCAGAGTACAGTATCTGAAAAAACCCATGTCTTATTTGGAAGGTAAAGAACATTCTATATTTTGTGTCAGTTGTGCTATGGCAATAAGTCTGTGGAAGAACTTTTGCTGAATACATGCTATTATGAAGCAGCTTTTTATTTTCAGTTTATTCCCCCAGACTGACATTAGTTTATTCTCTTTTCCTAAGTTGAAAAGCAAAATGAAGACAACATCCATTCAGCATGTTAGAGCAGTAATCTCTAGAATTTAATGAAAGGGTCACAAGTATATATACCTGATACAAAGTTAAGTGATCACCATTAAATTTGAGTCTACCTTTATATGTTACCTACATTATTGAAAAAAAAATTTTTTAATACAGGTTTAAATTTTTGAAACAATCACTACAAGATACAAAAGTATTCTATAACCCTGGAATCCCTTTATGTTGTTCCATTGTAGTCCATTTCCCCTGACACCTAACCCAGGAATGCCATAGTTTTGCCTTTTCCAGAATATCATATCAGTGGGCTTAATATTGTATGTAGCCTTTGGAGACTGGCTTGTTTCATTCCGTATAATGGCCTTGAGATTCATCTGAGTTGTAATGTCGATAGTTTGTTTCAGTTCATCGCTGAGTAGTCTTCCATTGTATGGATGAACCCCAGTTTATCCAGTCATCTGTCAGGGTTCATTTGGATTGTTGCACTTTTTAAAAATAGTATATTTTGTAAGTTTTGATTTTTTTTCAAGGTAGAATAATATATAATAATCAAGAAATAACTGGAAAAGAGATAAAATTTGGGGGAAAAAATTATCCCTGCCCAGACATAACTTCTGTTAACATTTAGGTGTATTTCTTTTTAGTCTTTTTCCTGTGCATGGAATCTTTGGGCTTGTGGTTTTATTTATATGGTTGTGGTTCTTATTTTCATATATTGCTTTTTTTTCATGTTTAATTATGAAGAGTGTAACATAATTTTAAAAAGTATAAAACAAACACTAGTGTCACCATCCAAAAGAAAAAATGGAATATTGCCGTTACTGTAAGCTTCTTGGAAGAACCTTCCCATCATATCGCCTTCCATTTACCTACAGTAATCACTATCCTACTTTTTGTAATAGTCATTCCTTTCTTGACCTCATAGCTTTCCAACTTACATATGTTTTTAAACAATATATTTAGTTTTGACTCTTTGAACTTTCTGGCCTCCGTTTTTTCTCATTTGATATTGTATCTGCTCCAGCTCTATTATGATAACTCTTCACAGGATGCTTGTTAGCCACATAGTATTCTGATGAGTGATTGTAGTGCACTTTATGTAGTCATTCCCCAGTTTGGGTCATTTTTAGTATTCACTTTTGGAAATGATGCTATATGTAGAAATATTTCCTTTGGATAATATTGTGAATAAAATATACTCTTAAGGCTCTGATATATGCTGCTAAATGGTTTACAGTTTAACCAGTTCATGGCACACTGACACCTTGTTCCTGTGCCAGCAATGAAGGGTTTCCACACCTCCCCTGATAAAAACATCTCAGGGAATTTGATTATTGAAAATCACCTTATCTTGGATTCTGGGGTTGAATGGTTCTTTCTGTGTTTATTAAACAGTTTTCTTTTTTGTTGACTTTGCCCAGGTTTGTGTTGGGGGTAAATCTCTTTCTTAAGTAATGGTCAGTGTGGCCTTGTGACTGATTCTTTTATTTCTTCAGATGTAGGTGCAAGAAACTACAGGCATCTCTGTGCTGTTTATTACAGCAAGAATCCTGGGTTTGAGATTATCCACGGACTGCTGGACAGAATCATGCAGCTGCTTGGCGTGCCTCCTGGTGAAAAGAAGCGGGGTTATGTGCTCAAAGCATCAGATGGTAAGATGGGATCAGCTGAATCCAGAGTTAGTGATAATGTAATGCAGAGGCCAAGCCTTATTCTTGATAAGTTTGTTTTTTTGGTTTTTCAAACAAAAATATTTGAGAGGTAGAACTTCAGTTCAATTAATAGTATTTCCTAGAAAATATCCCTTTTCCCTCCAGCATTCTTAGAAAATGCTTTTCAGAGCTCTCATCATGCCGCACCATATACTTTTGTTCTCGCTGTGTGGTAATAATGCCTAGTTACTGACACCATCAAGTCACCAGTGCCGTGGTAAACCCAGAAGTCCAATGGAAGCTGAGAGAACCTAAACTGATGATTTACACTCAAAGACCGCCTGTGTAAAGCCTTTAAGGCAAAAAAAAAAAAGCCTCACAAGTTATTCTAAAAGACTTCACATGTTAATCAAGTCATAAAGTTGTCAGAGGAGGGGTGAGAATCCTCTTGTATAAAAGCCCAAGTACAGAAAATCTCTGAGAGTTTAAGTTAGGCTAACTAAATGGGGTCTCTATACCTATAATTGGCTAGTTTTTTATTATCTGAGGAATTCTGAAATGTTTGCTTTTCATATCTCTATACTTGAATCTGAGTTTATTTTGTTAGACAAGGGATCCAGAAACAACTTAAAAGAAGGATTTTACCACTTTGTTCCTACTTTTTGCCTATCAATTTTTTATAACTGTATGTGACATCTTAAATCTCTAACAAACAAACATTTTTAAAGTGTTCTTTAACGGTTACTTACAGTGGTGTGAGGTTGGGGGGAGCATATTTTTATTTTTCCCTCAGCTCTTTTCTTAACCCTCAGAGGTTGTTTCTTGTTGTTGGTTTGTTTTACTTTTTGTTTTTATTTGGAGACTTTGAAAATGCAGTAACCCTGAAACATGTGGGCCTTTTTAGGTGGAAAGTTTGTGGGGTCTCTTTAAAAAAAAAAAATGAGAGATTAAATACTGCAGGGAGTTATTGTTTTCTATCACATCTCTCACTAGACGTAATCCAGTGAAGACATGTTATGCTTATAGAATCCTGGGGTGTTAGAACTGGATCTTGGAGTTCATCAAGTCTAGTTTGATGGTGTGACAAATGAAGGAACAGAGGCCAGGCCAGTTAAGTGAGCTGGGCTGGGCCACACAGGCAGAACCCAGGGCTCCTGCCTCCCAGGTTTCTTCCCACCGGGCCATGTTGCCTGCCTTCGCAGGGATTGTACTTAACTCATTCACCAGTTTGCTCTTCTAGCATTCTGCAGTAAGATGCCGACAGTCCAAGCTAATAGCAACTTGAAAGCTGATGTGATACATTTTACCCTCTAAAGTCTTTTCTCAGAAATCTTACTTCATAAATAGATTAACTGGATAAAAAGCAGTTCCTTGAAACAGATTATACCATGTGTAACTCCGGCCAGGAGTTGGGGGTTGGGGATCTTTCTCCCAGCCCGCGGCAAATTACCTTTGAAACTGAAATCAGTCAAAGGAAGATATAAAGTGGGAGAAACCCATTTATTGCTTACAGGCAATCGTCCACTTACTTCTGTTCACCTGTGTCTCACCTCTCGGCTACAAAAAGGGTCCCCATGAAACCTCTCCAGTCCACATATACCTTCGCCCCCCACACCCTTGTAATCACCTATTCATATGGAGATGGCTACTTCTCTCCACGTTGGAAACACCTATTGATAGGGAGATACATTAAGGCCAGGTGAGAGATTCTGGAAACAGTGCAATTGTACTCACTCCGTGTACATGAGGTCTAATTTTTTTCTCATTTGAAAGATGGTGAAGGGGTGAAATGGTAAATTGAAGCATAATCTGTTGGGATATGATACTTTGATATGTAACTTTTATATTAATGGTGTTTCTTTAAACCATAAACCAACCTGTTAATGTTAGTATGACTCTCCAGCCTCAATAAGCTCCTTAGTCATTTATTTCGCAGAAGACTGTGTTCCCAGTCATGTGGCAGAATTGGAGGAGATAGGGATAGTAGGACACAGGCCTGCTGTCAAGGAATCTGTAGGGGAAAGACCACTGCATACCAACTCCCACCAGGCTGCCAAGAGGACTGTCACGAGCTCTCCAAAGAGAGAGACCGTGGAACTTCCTGAGGGCATCTGGGAAGCATTAGTGAGTTTCTGGGAAGTGAGATGGGCCTTTGAAGAGAGAAAGAGGTGGAGACAGAGGAAGCAGGACCATGTGAGCAAAGCCAGACATGATCAGAAACACGGCCCGGTGCAGTTCTGGTTTGACTTTAGGGTGAGGAAGCTTAGGACTATATAGTTGGGGTCCTGAATGCTCGAGTGAGGGCTTTTAGCCAGAGCAGGGAAAATACTGAAGCTTCTTCCTATATTTTTTTTAGCACGTGAGTGACAGGATTTGATGTGTATTTCCGAGGGTTAATCTGGTGGCAGTATGTAGTTCGGGTGGCATGGGGGAGCGAAGAGAATGGTCGGAAGGTACTCGGGTGTACTCCAAAGCACTGAGAATGAGGGCCTGAACGCTGGCCATAGCTACGCCAAGGAGATTGTTTAAGAAACTTTAGGAAGGTAGAAGCAACGGCATTTTAGCACTGGGGAATTTCATGATTTGTGCTACTTGGAATCTTTAATGATGCAACTAATACATGCTGATCTTTTTAAAAGTCAGAGTTCTGTGTAGCAACCAAAACAGTATAATACACAGTACTTAATTTCCCCAAAATATAAATGTTTGGTTTGGTTTGGAGTGTATTTTTTATTTTAATTAGAAGGTATATACTGTAACTGATTCTGATGTGGCGTTAGATATTTATGTTGTTTTTTTAGGCCAAGTTGTTACTGTGGGTTTTGACTTGGTGTGAGGACAGTCAATATTGTGTTTCCTTTAGAATTTACTTTGGCTTTCATAGTGGACTATTATAATGTTTTAAAGTTTTATGTCTATGAAATGTCCCAGATGTATGAATTTGAACAGCTTTGGTACAACTTCTTTATATAGAAGGGTGGCCTGGATCCGTACATATTTCAGTATATCTAAAACTGGCTTTCTCTGAAAACAGAATGGAGTATTTACTTTCACTGCGTCTGTCACCAGCATTTGGCCACATCTTTTTTTCTCAAGATGCTTTCAGTAAGAGCCGGCAAGCCAAAGAGAATTAGTGTTGTTATAAATAACAGTTCCTTATTTTTTGTAGGGATTTCTAAGTCTGTTTTGCTTATCTACTGACAAGTATAATTATCCCTTTGTTTTAAATGGCTAAAGGACTCAAGACTTAAAGAAGTGGCTTGTCAAAATAAGCCAATAGCAAAGCTGATACTAGTTCTTCATCTAAAATTCCACATATATCTGCACATAGACACATATATATCATAGAGATAAATATGTCTCCTAGTAAATTTGTAATGCAGGAATTTGGTTGCTGGAGCATGCTTAGCTTCATCATCTCCTCAGAGTTGTTATTTTGCATTTAGCTTTGGCTGCTAAGGAAAGGTCTTCATAGTATCAGAAAGTAGAGTAGAACTACTGTTTGCTGTCATTCTTGGTTACTGAGTTGTCTTCTCTTACTCTGGCATATGGTTAACTTTTTAATAATTAAAAATCCCTGGTGGCTTTACTTATAATTGAGCTAAATCTATTCACCAGAGACCCCTGCTCGTGTCAGCTCATTGGCAGGCATACCTGATCCCTTCCTCTCCTTTCTAATGAGCACTGCCAGCTGCATTCCATACTGCACTGTTCGGTGGTAGGGATGCAGGGAAGAGAACTTGATTCCTTTTGGAGAAACTTGGCCCTGTCCATTGTAAGAGAAATCTGAAAATTTGATTGATCTAGCATTGATCCCATAGAGTTCTGTTGACACTGGAGGGTAACCCTGCTTACTAACACAGGCAGCAGCTCTCTGCAGCATGTAGAGTCTCTGTGGAAGCCCTCACCAGGCCTTCTGCAGCCAGAGTTGGAAGCTATGGTTGACACTTGGTCTTTAGTTGTCATTTGCTGAGCACCCTTGTGATTAAGAATATAGGGCAAGATAGGATGTGGGATGGATGATAGACTAAAGGCAGTTGCGTAGAAACAAAGAAAGAACCTTCAACTTCTTAGCAGTCTATGGAGCATTTTGAGGGTTTCAAAAGGGTTCAACTCAGAATGTTTTGATGGCATTTGATCAGATTATTACAGCATATGTATATGCTTTTTTTCAGGCTTCTTCCCCTTTGTGGTTTATTGCAAACTAAATTATATATGTTAAAATGCATTTACCCTTTTCCAAAACCACTTCTGGGCAAGGAAAATTCTCAACATTTTTGTGTTTTAGAACAGTTCTGTGGTTGCTGAGAAAATCAGTGGCAAAAATAATTTCCTGTAGAAGGTAGTAGGCTTTGTGTGCAATTGGTTGCCTGACTTGAGGGTGCATTTTCCCTGTCATTTGTTACCTATTTCAGGTTTGTTTATTTACAGTTTTACAGAAAGCTTCAATTTTACTTAAGACAAGATCCCTGATGGGGAGACAGAAGCTTTAGAACTTTTGTTTTCACATTTCTAGTTTTCATGATGCTAATTCATTTTGTGAAATGAAAAATAACCTTGCAAGTATTATGCGCATTTAATCCTGCACCATATGTACCCACAGTGGCTACTTAGGTACCTTCTGTGACAGTAACCGAATGATCGTTGACTTGACCTGCAGGTCATGACCTTTTCTCTTTTCCAGGACACCTAGGAAAGATTTCAGATGCTAAAAAATACGGGTGAAATTGTGATGTTTCCCTGGTCTTCACACTGGTTTTAGTGTAATATGATCTTGGAATCATATTACTGCTGATGTACATACATACAACTTGCTGATGTAAAGATGTTCCATTATGGCTTGATTCACACAAAACCTTCTGTAATAGAATAAGGGGAGATCTGTATGGCATCTCCACATTGAGGTACCATCAGCAAAGGCATTATTCTGTTAAGGCATCAAGTTGAAAGGGAAAAAGGCTTAGGAATTATTTAGCTTCCTGATCTTATTACTCTGTAGAAACAGTCATCATCTCTCTGGTTTTCTACTTTTTGTGTTGAGTCGAACTTTCAAATACTACTTTTTGTTACCTTCTATGAAGCACTGAAAAGACTCAAGCAGTATTAAACCCATCGTCAATAGTGACACACAGTCAAGCAGTGGTGTTTATAAAAGCCCTGGCAGTTTTCACAGTCATCAGCCCTGCACTGTGTTCGAGCATCTTTGAGGTTCTGCCTTACTTGCTCACGTGTACGGGCACAGTTCTCTCCACTCATGTGCACCTCACTTTTTTGGTGTGTTTGGTACTTAACTTGACATTTCAGTTCTCAGCAAACTCAGGACCAGATCCCACATGGATAACTTGGCTCCACTTCCCACAGGATGGAAATTGGTGTAACACAGGGTTCTTCTACATTTTTTATTATCTCTTCCCTAAGGAACATTTTCAGACTCTTTTTTCCTAATTGCCCTTCCTTGAAAATTTAATACCAAAGATATGTATAGCTGTGCTTTATACATTTTTTATAAAGTGTAAATCTTTTCAAAATTCAATTCACGGTTAAGAATAACTAAATAAAAATTTTAAGTTAACAACTGTTAACATTTAACTTTCTATCTACTGAATAAATTTTAATGTTACTAGATAAATTGTAATTATGTTATATATGCCAATTAGCAATTAATCTAAATATGTAATAACCCAAAATTTAAAGTCATTCAAAACTTTTATTTTCAGCAAAACAATTTAAAAAACTTAACTTCTTAAAAATCATTGTTAGTGTATTTATTTTTCTTGATAAGAGAAACTAACTTTTAACCAGCAAGTAGTCAGATATTATCAGTTTTTCTTTCAGTGCTTGATGTAATTAATGATGTATTGAATAACTTTTTGAGTTAGAGACTTAATTCTCAAAGCCTGAACCACACACACAAGCTCCCAGGATCAAACATCAACAGTATTTGCAAGGCAGCCAATGCTCGAAGCACATGCAATCCACTTTTCAACCTGACTTTGCCCTTGATAGAAAGTCTTTAGTGACAGCCATCTGCCGCCATTGGCCAGAGCACTGATCTTGCGTACGTTTACAATGCCTTCCATTGGCAGTGCTGTTCCTGTGATGCCCGAGATAGTCTGTGAAAGGAGCCGAATACCAAGAGGTACTATTTTGTCAAGTATGGTGTCAACCACGTAATATGTAAGATTATTTCATACCGCCCTCTCTACCGCCATGAACCAGTTTCCACCTCTTTAGAGAATGTGTGCTGTAACTGAATGCATTCTTTGGTGTTACTTACATCCAGCTATATGTACTGGGCTAAAGAGAGGAAGGTATTTTTATTTACCTCCCTGTACTCATTTTGTTCCCACTTCTAAACTAGACCTTGGCTTCCACTATTCTGTAGAAAAGGCGACGGCCCAAATACAAAGAGATGCCAAAGAAGTTCATTTTGAGCTTGTTTGAAAGGCTCAGATCCTGAAAGTTTAGAGGAACATTAATGTGCTTTTTACTACTCAGTTTTTAATCCTGCACATATAAGAGCTGTACTTCCCTCAGGTAGCAGCAGTTTTACACATCGGGGCAAACCCTGGCAGCACCCTGGTTTGGGCACATTCGTGTGCCATAGCGTATTGGTTAGGAACAACGTCCTGTGAATTCCTAGAGAATGATGTTCTGGCAAACTAAATACCAAACCCTCTAAGTGGTCAGTCCAGCTTTAGTCCAGAAGGGTCAAAAGGATGGATGAATGGGTGGATAGATAAATAGAGAAACATTGAATAAATTGCAAGGTAGGGCTGATGGAGGTAGGCTGTGGAGGAGTCTGCTGTGCACATGGCCACTTAGAATTAAAGACCTTACACCCCAGGAGCACTTACTCCCACTTTGGCATGAAAGAGAAAATACACTTTTGTCTTCTTTAAGCTATTGATATTTGGGGTTTTCTTTCTCAAAGATGAAACCAATCCTAACTTATAAATTGTATTTTTGATTTCTACATGCCTGAACTCCTTGGCCATATTAAGTGCTCTGTAGCTCTAGGATAACTGAAAATCAATTTCTGAATTATTTTAAAATCAACTTCTTGTAAGATCATCCATTCTCATTTGTTTTCTTTCTTTCTCTCAATTGTCATATCCCTTTACTTTTAAACATAATTTAGATGGTTCACTCTCATATCCACATATGCAGGGTTTATTCCAACCACCTTCCTGTGTGTGAGCTTCATGACACACTTGTATCTTGTTGCCTTTAAAGCTGTTGTTGCTAACCACTGGCATTTAGCTCCAGCCTGCATTTTTACTGCTGATGAAGACCTCGGCCATTCCCAGTGAATATGTTTTAGAGGACTGGCTTTTAAAATGTCTTCTGGGCTCTCACAGAACAAACAAAAAACCATTTAAATGTATACTTTCTAGTAAGATTTGAACAAAGGGCCCTCTGTCTTAAAAAAAAAAGTTTGAAACCCTCCCTTACAGAGAATCAGGCAGTTCAGGAACGCTGTAGTGATGATAATTAGATATTTCCACTCTTTTCTTTACAACTTAGTTTTACTTGCTTTTAGGTGCCATGGTTAAGAGTATCTAAGATTTTAGTAATACCAAGTCATTGTATCAGATGGCATGGTACGTTGTGAGTGTGAAAACTGATCGCTGTCAGTTCAGCTACTCACCATCAGCAGTTAGACGTCGGGGTTTGGGTGTTCCGCGGCTCCATCTGCAGGGGGACACCAGCTCCTAAATGGCATCTTACACTTCTGGATACTGGAAAATTAAGAGGAATTACTTTTTATTAACATTGACTTAAAAGGGAAAGTCTACCAAAACATTAATAATTCAGCTCATATTTCTTAAGTTCTCTTTGGTAATTTGAAGAAGAGTTAGTGATAAAAGTTAATATGATGGCAGTGATTTTTTTTTTAAGTCTGTCTTGTAAGTTCCTAAAATTCCTCAACACAGTTAACCTAGACACTTGAGATAATATATGGTGTATACTGCTTTGTCAGCATATGGCAACAAGATAAAACTAAATGATAGGGTGTTGGCATTTCCAAAAATAAAAAATACAAAGAGGGAAGAAAAATGCATGTATTTAGATGGATGGATAGATCTTGAGGAAACAACTTTTCTTATCTATTGAATTAGCCTTAAAAAGTCAGTTCTTAAGAGAATAATTTGTAGTTATTTAAAATGGATAATTGGTCTCCTTTCTTTTGAAGTAGATGTGTTTAAGTTTTCTAGACTTACCTATTTGCAAAATGTCCTTTTCCCTTGATGCATTGGCATTTAAGCATTTCTTTTCTTTCAAGGTGTAGGACTAGGCAATATGTTTTGATTTGAGAATTGGATGGAAGCACCTCCTTTAAGCAACTCTTATAACTTAAACACCATTTTTAATTTTTAAAAACTTATAAGAGTCACAAGCTGATTTTAAAAGTGCAAGTACAGTATAAAGAACTTTTTCTTGAACTATTTAAGAATAAATTATCAACCTGTTGTCCCATTACCCCTGAGTACTTTAGTATTTCCTACAAACATGGACATTGTCCTATATAACCACAATAAAACTGTCAAAATCAGAAAAATATCTTTCATTTTAATGTTTACCATGACCTAATCCTTAGACCCTATGTAAGTTTATCAGTTCTTTATTATCAAAGAATTGCTTGTTATCTTTAGCTGCCATGTCTCATTAGTCTCCTCCTAGAGTTCTAAAATAGTCTTTCCAGACTCTCATGACCTTGACACTTTTGAGAATCACAGGCCAGGCATTTTGTCATGTGCCCCTCAATTCTGGGCTCTGCGTTTCCTTACTGTTCAGGTCAGGCATCCATGGAGGAATGTTAGTGGTACTGTTGCCCCAATGTTCCTGTCAAGTGACATACAGCTGCCGCTGATCTCATAACTGATAATGCTCACTTTGTCTCGTAATGGTTAAGGTGGTGTCTGCTAGGCTTTACTACAACTGTAGTTCTGGGGAGAAACACTTTGAAATCATGTAAATGTCCTTTTCCTAACTGGTCTTTCTACTTATTTATGTTACATAGGCTCATGATTTCTTGTTCTATTCAAAGTTTTTTAATCTGTTAAAATCATTATTTATTCTGATGCTCACATTGTTGCCAATTTGGCCAGTGGGAGTACCTTTAATGTGTTCCTCTTATTTTTTATTATGATTAGCACTCTTTTGCTTTGGGCACAAGAAGATAGATAACAGACTTATCTGCAACTTTCTATTGCTCCGTTTCTCCTCCTGGCCCATTTAGTGGGGAATGGTGTCTAAAAGCCAACATTTAGGGTGTGTGTGTTGCTATTCAGGGGTGAGATGCTATTCCCGTGGATATGGGAGTGTGCATGCCCACACCCACTTATTTACTTAGATATGTATCTGGAAGATCACAAGTCCTCAGCAGTACTTGGATTCCAGCCCAGCCCTTCAGGGCTCATTCCCATTTGCTTTTGCTCCATATCTGTACCTTCTCCAACACTGAGAGTCTGGCTCCTGCGGTTCCTATTTACTTACTTGCTCACTGCCCCCGTTTGTAAGTAAACTCCCATCTTCTCCCCTGCATGTCTTTCCTGCTCATCATTCTCAGACTCTCACTGCCCCCCAGAGCTGTTCCCTGCTCCCCTATGGATGTCCTTCTACCCCCTTAGGTTCTGATACCCACTGCTGCCCTGATCACCCTGTCTCCCCACTCCCAAAGTGCTGCCGTCCTCGGCCCCTTTAGGGATGAATTGTTCTGGAAGAGAAGGGGAAAAGACTTTAAATCTTGAGAAGCCTTTTTTTGTAGGGAAATTCTTGTTAAAATGAAGGGGAGAGAAATGGTGTATACAGGTGGGGCTTTTTTGGAAGTGGGAGATAACGTAGGAAATATATTTCTGGGTTCATCATATATAGTTTCTATCTCAGACCTGGAATCAGGTGTATCCCCTGGTTCCTTTTAGTGGGAAGTCATATTTGGCTCACACCCTGGGTACTGAGGTTGCTCATTGCTATGGTGTGAGTCACTGTTTCTGGGACTTTTTAGTATGCAGAGCTGGGGATGTTTTTTTTTTTTT